AAGCGGGAAAAACCGGCTTCCCACAGTCAAAGCCGAAGCCAGAGCCAAAGTCAAGTCAAAGCCCAAAGCCAAAGCCAAAGCCAAAGTCATAGACGAACCACTTGCTCACTATTACCTCTGCTACTACTGCTGTTGCTGCTTCTTCTTCTTCTTCTTTTTCTACTTGTTTTTCTTTTTGTTTTACTAGAAATGGTGGGGAAATGGGGCTGGAGGAAGCCAGCGACGACAGCGAAACAGTAGCTGCAAAAAAAAATATTATTATAAACATGTTGCGCTCGAATGACTCGCACAAGCAATTAAAGGAAAACCGGTTCGGAGCCGAACCATGAACCAAAACGGCGCAAAAACAACAAAACATCATATAAAAACAAATTGCATTTAACATTTCTTAATAAAACAAAAGAAATTGCTAGCTGGATAGACTTCAGATACATTATAGCCAACTGGCAGATAAGTGTATCTATCAGATACATAGAGATTTAAAGCTCCAAATTGATATGAGATACTACTGGATTAACTTAGAAAACTGAGATACATTGTATCTGCATCTGACAATTTGTGTTTCTTTAGATTGAGCTACTTTTGAAGCGCCAAATAGATATGAGATACTGATAAGACTGAGATACATTGAGGTTACCTAACAGCTAACGACTTCTATACAAGATTCAGATACTTTTTGTCAACTTGCAGCTACTTATAGGTACTCATTATATATGAGGTATTGCCGTCATCCTCTGTAGATACTTATATCAATAATAGACCAAATTATCAGCTTGAGATATTTGTTGCTAAATTCAAGAGATACATTTGTGCACACCGTTTAGATACGTGTATCTAATTTGCTTAATAAGCACTTTTGGTAGAAAAGATACACAGAAATTGGCAAATTGTAAACACTGAGCAACGCTTGGATTGGCTTTCTGGCCAGCTGCCACAGCTAGTTAGATTAGGAGACTGAGATACTTTGTAGCCAAGTTGCAGCTATTTGTAACTATGACACATAGATACTTAGTATGCAGCATTTAGATGCATGTATCTGTTATAGCTTGCTGCTATTTGGAAGTAGATACTTTTGCTGTAGATACTTCGTTGCTTACATATATGTATCTTTAGATATTTTGTATCTGCAGTAAGCTGTAAACACTTTGAGGTGACTTGCAGCCAATAAGATTGAGATGCTTTCACTTAACTACATTTTATCTGTCGACTAAGATACTTTGCATTTGGCCAACGCAAACTGAAGCTTGTTAAATAAGATAATCAGATAAAGCATCTCAGAGTTTAATATTTTCTAGATAACAGTCAGATCTTTCTATTGAAATTTGTATCTGAAACAGTTTGCTCTATTTTCTAGACTCTTTTTGACTGCTTACAGAACTTTGTATCTATAATATTTGGTATATGTAAAATAGAGTGCAGATACATTGAGATACTTTGTATCTTATTGAGTAGTAGTTAGAAGATGCTTTGTAGATACACATACTTTGTATCTTATACATATAAAATATAATTTTGACTAACTTGTAGATACATGCAGCTATTAAGATACTTTTATTTATGCAATCTATATGAGAACAGGTTAGCACAACTTGCAGATACTTTGTATCTTTTTAATGTACAGAAGATACTTTTCAACTAGCTTGTAGATACTTGTATGCTGTTGCCTTTGCAGATACTTTGTATCTCTATATGCTCAGCGTAGTTTGCAGATTATCTCCTGCTCTCAGATACTTTGTGGCTACGTCAGGCATTCAGTTAGGCTCGTGGTGCACTCTACATATAAAGCACGGATGGTATTTGGTGCACAAGTTGAACAGAAAATAAAAAACAGGCCACAGCGGCACGCACAGTGCAATGTGCACAGTCCATTTGTAGCTGTATCTATGTATCTGCCGTGGCTGTGTGTATCTTTAGCTCTATCTCGAATTTGTGTAGCTGTATCTTTGACTGTATCTGCATCTGTATCTGGCCACTGGGCGCTCCAACAAAAGAGACAGCGTTCCGTCCGTATAAATAGTGCCATCGTTGCGCTATTTTTGTCGAAATATTCCGTACGCTTGCGCTCTCATTCATGCAGCTTCCCCTTGCCCCGGCACACCCCCCGTACAGCTCCACCTGCCTTTGCTTTGAAATTTATTTATTTATTTTTATTTTTATTTAGTTTGTCTTGTTTTATTCTGTGTTTATTCTTTTTTTAATTTTTTTTTTTTTTGTCACTTTGTCAGGCTGGGCAAATGCATGGCTTTTGGCTTTCTAGCAGTATCTCTAGCTGTCTATATATATATACTTATGTATATACACTCATGTGTGTGTGTGTGCTTATTAATATAGACAACGCTTGTCGTTCACATTTTGCTTTTCAGGTGCATTTTGAGGTGTCGTGACAGCAAATTCTTGCCTCAAATTATGCGCACTAAAAATAATTGAAAAAAAAAAATAGAAAAATATACAAAAAAAAAATAGTTAAAAAAGCAATGAAAAATGAAAAAATATGAAAAAAGCTTAGAAAAATATAGAAAATTAAATAAAAATAAAATTCACTCTTTTTCAATTTTTTATTTTTATATTCTTGTTAACTAAATTTTGCTTCCAAATTTTCGTTCATTTTTTTTTTAAATTTTTCTTTTATTTTCTCACTTTTCTATTTCAGAATTTTCCGTTTTCAATTTTTTTTTTAAATTTGTATCTACATTTAATTTGTTAATATTTTTTTCTAGTTATTTTTATATATTTGTTTTAAATATTTTCTTAAACATTTTTTTTCATATTTTTAAAAATGTTCTATTTTTTTAAACAGCTGCAAATTCCAATGAATCCCGCTAAGCCTAAGACATCCTCTGTCTCTCTCACTCCTGCACTTGTTCCTTCCTCCTACCCCAGACCCTTTCACACTTACGCGCTGTTTGCTGCTGCCGCTGCCACTGCTGCTGCCTTTGCTGCTGCTTCTTCGTCGTTTAGCCGCTTTGACCAAAGTTGGTTAAACACTCGCGTTTCGACTGCAACCGTTCACCGCAGTACAACAACAACAATAGCAATAATAATAATAATAATAGTCGTAATAAAAACAACAACGGCGTTTGAAAAAAAACAGAAAAAAAACTCAACTGCACACAACGAGTTGCTGAGCAAGAGGAAGAGCTAGTTGCAGAAGATTCATAAATAACAACAACAACAACAACAACAACAACAACAAAACTTGTCTTTTGTTGCCTTCTTTGGTTGCGTCTTGCTGCTTCTCTTATTTTTTGTTTTACTATTGATTTGCTTGCATTAATTTGATTTTTTTTTTTTTGGTTTTTTTTTGCACTTTGAGAATTTTGTGTTCTCTAGCCTCGCTCCTCACGCCTCGTCTATGTGTGTCGGCTTCGCTGTCACGTCGTCTCGTCTCGTCTGGTCTCGTCGTGGTGTTTTGCTTTTTTTTGTGATCGGGAACACAAGTCGCACAAGTGATCGATGCCGCCTCTGAGTTTGTACTGAAATGGCCAACAGACGATGACGATGGCAGCTGTTGACGGCGACGTTGGCAGCGACGCTGGCAGCGTTGATGGCAATGGCCAAAGCGACGGCTGATTCCCGTTCCTGGCCAGAAGTGCGCATCACATCACGCACGCGGCACACGGCACTAAAAGAGAGTGGCAGCAACAGCAATACACACACACACACTTACACAGAGCGAGAGAAAGAGAGAGGCTGAAAGAGAGCGACAGAGCGTGAGAGCGCGCGCGCATAGCGCTGAGCGCTAAAGCTAACGGCGAATGAGCGAAGAGCGGCAGGAGGAAGAGCGAGAGCGAGCGCGCATAGACAATGGCTGATCGCACACGTGGGCCGTGGGTCGTAGGCCGTGGGCCGCGGGCCTGCACATTTGGTGGTTATTTTATTTTTTCGCTTTTATTCTTCTTTCTTTTCATTCTTCGTTTTGCGGCTGTCCATCAAAAAGGGCTCAACTGAGCTTTTGGGCATACCCTGTGATTAATTAGCAATTTCAGTTGGGCAGTTGTGTTAGTGAGAGGACATTGAACTCTAGATGGAAATTATTTACCTAGTGGAAATCTCATTTGATGTAATGTTAAGCACATATTTTCTGTTAATTGGAACTAAAGAGCATTAAATATTAAAAAAAAACTATCAATGATACAGTTTATAAGTGCAGTAGGTTTCATAAATGTTGTAAAAAATGAAATACAGGTATTGATATTGATATGAAATACAGGGTATTTTCAAGTCGACCCAGGCTATTTAATATTTCAGCATATCAGCTGCTTAGCTTCATGTCCTCATTTTTATTTAAGGCGAAACTATAAAATAACAAAAGTGCAAATAGGGTATTTCATAGGCAAGACTTAACCAATATAGGGTATCTGAGAGCCTAGACTAGAGTTGATTCTCAAAGTAAGTTTCATATATCTTGTTAACAAAAATTGTATACAGGGTATTTTATAGTCTAGACTATGTGTAATAAGGATATATGATAGTCTAGATTGACAGCTCACTGACCTCATTCATATTTGAGGCTAAACGTCTATGTAATTTACTCGCATTTTATAGAAAAAAATAAATACAGAGTATTTTCAAGTCTACACTATAAGCAATACAGGGTATTTAATAGTACAGAATATCAGCTGCTTAGCTTTATGTCCTCATTTAAAGTAACTTTTATAATCCAAATGTGTAAATAGGGTATTTCATAGGCAAGACTTAACCAATACAGGGTATCTTAGAGTATAGACTAGAGTTGATTCTCATTTGACGCAAAGCCACAAAGTAAGTTTCATATATTTTGTAAAAAAATTGTATACAGGGTATTTGATAGCCTAGACTATGTGTAATACAGGGTATTTCCTAGTCTAGATCGGTAGCTCACTGACCTCATTCATACTTGAGGCTAAACGTCTACCCACATTTTATAGAAAGAAATAAATACAGGGTATTTTGTAGTCTAGACTAGCAACAGATTAGCATTGCTTGCCCCCATTGAGAGGGTGTGGTGGTTGAGCACTTACCGCTTGGCTGCTGTTGCTGTTGATATTGCCCCTCGACAGCTGTTGCTGTCGCTGACCCGCCGGCAACATGGTCTCGACGCCCTGCATGATGACGCTCGCGCCAAGGAATTTGTTAAGCAGAGCACGTGCCTCGCTGTCCTCAGCGCTGTCGCCCGGTTCCACCACTGCGTGAAGATGGAGAGGAGGCAGAGCTGGTCAGACATTTGAAACTAGATAAATCATTTGCTGGAGCACTCACCATTGTCGGCATTGCGCATGCGTTCGAGGACATCATCGACGCTGCTCACAGCTCGCTCCTCGCCGCTGGTATTGAGAAAGGAGCGTGTGCTGGAGCTGGTGCGTGTGGTGCTGCTGGTTTGATGCTGACGCATCTGTGGTGCCTCCAGCTCGATGACGCTGCACACATCATTCGATTCGCTGTCCTCGGTCTCCTCGTCGGCCAGCAACGACTCCTTTTGTATGAAACGTTCGCTTAGCTCCTTGATCGAGCCCCGTCGATTGCCCTCCGGCGCCGCTATGGCTGCGGGCATGCCCTGCATATCGATGAGCTTCACCTCGCGCTCCAGCTTGGTCTGTCCATTCGACTGGCTGGTGTCCAGCTGCTGCTGTAGCGTTACCAACTCATCGGGATTGCTCGAATAGATGAGCTCCTTGCGTTCATGACGTGGCGGCGACTTGTCGTCCGAATAGAACTGCTCCTCGATGACATAGCCTGTGACTTCTGTGGAATGAGAGCGGCTCAGTATTGTTATGGCACCACTGAACCACTCAATTGCTTACCTTGCTTTGTCTCACATGGCTCCATCGGCGGCTGTGTCTTCTTCTTGAGCGCCCTAATGCCAAAGAGGGGCAGCCCATTCTCATCGGTTGGGCCGACGCCATAGCTGGACGTGATCGAGTCCTCCTCACGTCGCTTGCTGCTGCTGCTGGTTGTGGTGGTGCTGCTACTGGTGGTGTTGCTGCTGCGCATCATTCTGCTGCTGCTGCTGGTGGTGCTCGTGTTGGAGCCCTTCCGTGGCGTGGGTGAGGCAGAGCCAGAGGCTCGCAGCACCTTGCTACGATCTGCCCAAATGGGGCTTGGCTTCTCGTTCGGATTGAGTTTACCTTGCTTGGTGGTGCGCGTGGTGGTTGTAGTTGTGGTTGTGGACTTGCCCGTCGGGCTGCGACGACGCGTTTGAGCAGGGCTTGCACTGCGCTCACGCGGTTTCACCGGTGGCTTGCCACTGTCCAACTGCTCGGTACGACGACTTGTGGTTGTGGTGCTGGTGGTGGTGTTGCTCTTCAGCTCCGGACTCTGGCTACGTTCGCGTGGTTGCTCCGGCAGGCGTCGCACGGGCATTGGGCTGCGACTGGGCGTCGAGCTTTGACTTCTGGGCAGCAGCTGCTCTGGCTGCCTGCTCTTGGTAGTTATAGTGGTTGTGGTGGTGGTGGTGCTGCTGCTGCCGTTCGCATTGATCATGTTCTTCTTAATCAAACGTATCTGGGCGCGTATACGTCGACGCAGCTCATAGCTGCTCACCGTCTCCAGCAGCTGCTCCAGCGTCTGCAGGTCAAAGATCTCCTCAATTTCCAGCTCCTCGGAGTTGCTGGTGCGCACCACCTCGGGCCGTGAGCTGCGTTTGGGCACATCAAATTTAACGGCCGCATTTGGATTGCGCGGCTCGAGCATTGTCTCATCCTCCACTGAGGACTTACGGGAGTAATGCGTCTTATTTATCTCCAGCGAATCGCGACGAATGTGCTCCAGGGAGCTCTTCGTGTGATCCATGTAGGAGGGGCGACGTCCGCTGGGCTCCGTAGCGCTGGTATTGGTGGGGCTGGGGGAATGCTTCTCAAAGATGTTGCGACGTGAGGCGACGGTGCGTCCGGGCGATGTTTGATGGCTGGGACGGCTGCGGTCTAAAAGTGGTTCAACGTGTGGTTCAGTGTCAGGGGAGCTGGCAAGGGGAGCTTGGTTAGTTGGACTATGTGTTCGATTTGTTGTTGTTGTTGTATGCTTGGTGGTGCTGTGCTCAGTGCTCGCTTTAACTACGGTGGATTTCGAATTGGTGGTGCTGTCGGGCTTGGTGGTGGTGGCGGTGCGTCGTTGTGGCGACATTTGACGTGGACTGCCACTGTGGCTATGCCTGGGACTGTGGTTGAGTTCATCCACATCACTCGGCAACCACTCTTCACCACGCTTGGTGGTGCTGGTGGTGCAACGCGTATCTGTCTCGGTCTCTGTAGTGTAATCATTGGTAGGGCTTGGCTTGGAGCGCGGCAACTCAGGCGAGGGCTTGCGTGGTGCAGCAGTGTTGCGTGTGGTTGTCTTTGTCGTGGTCGTGGTGGTGCGCCTGCTTGGCGATCCTGCCTGTGGACTGATCGGCTCGTATTCTTCGACATCCACATCCAAGTCGCTATGCAACCACTGCTCGCCACGTTTGGTAGTGGTTCTGGTGCTAGTGGTGCTGGTGGTGCGACGTGTGCCTGTCTCCGTTTCCTTGGGATAATCGCTGTTCGGCTTGTTGCGCGGCGACTCCAATGAAGGCTTGCGTGGTGCAGTAGAGCTGCGCGGAGTTGGCTTCGTTATGTTGGTGGTGCTGGTGTTAGGGGTGGTGCGTCTGCCTGGTGATGTTGCTTTGGGACTGACTGGCTCGTATTCTTCGACATCCACATCCAGGTCGCTATGCAACCACTGCTCGCCGCGCTTGGTAGTGGTTCTGGTGCTAGTGGTGCTGGTGGTGCGACGTGTGCCTGTCTCTGTCTCCTTAGGATAATCGCTGTTAGGCTTGTTGCGCGGCGACTCCAACGACGGTTTGCGGGGTGTAGTGGAACTGCGTGGAGTTGGCTTCGTTATGTTAGTGGTGCTGCTGGTAGTTGGGCGTCTGCCTGCCGTTGTCGGCTGTGGACTGGTGCTGTGGGTAGCCGGGGCGGGGCCCACCTCTTCTACATCCACATCCACATCACTGATCACCCACTGCTGCTGCGTTATATGCTCCCTTCGCTTGGTGGTGCTGGTGGTGCTACGCTCTGTGTCGCTGGGCTTACCACGTGGTTGCTCCAATGAGGGCTTGCGTGGTGCAGCGGTGCTGCGTGTTGGTGAACGTGCGCCCGGACTCGAGGTTGGAGCATTCTGACTGCGATACGATCTACGCTCCTCCGCTATGAGCGTTGTGCTTGGACTTGACGTGCCGCGTGGTTTGCTGTTGCCGTTGGGCGTGGCTGGCTTACGTTGATTGAAGACAGAGGGACGACTGAGAATGTCCTTTTGGCGCTTCAGCTCAATGGCTGTGGTATGATGCTTTGACATCGGCAATAGCTCATCGTTCGACTCCAACGGCTCCTCTGGCTCCGCATCTGAGGGCTGCTCCGGCTCCGATTCCTGATCGAGTTCCGGCTCGCTCTGGCGTGAGATGTGACGCTCGATGTTAGCCACCAGCCGAGGCGACTTTTGTGGTGCACTCGGCGCCAACTTCTCGGCGGTATCAATGAACTTGTGCACCTTCTGCGAAACGCTCAACGTGCAGTCGTCCTGACGCAGCTCCTCATCGATGTCCTCAAAGTTGGGGCGTTCAATCTCGCGCGTGGGCGTGGTCAATGGCTGTTTGGTTATGTTCTCGGCCGTCTTCAGAAAGCGATCAACCTTCTCATCAATGCTCAGCAAACATTCATCGCTGGCCGAGACCTTGGCATGCTCATCGAACTGCCGGCTAAAGGGAGTCGAGGTTTTGGGCTGTTTCACCTGCTCGGCGGTGTGCGTGAACTTTGACACCTTCTCGTGCACACTCAGTAGGCATTCGTCCACGTCGATGCCAGGCTGTCCATTACTTGGATTGCTGGTTGTATAGTCGAGACTTTTTGGCGCCTCCACAGTGGGATTGTCGTGGATGTCCGCCTCGATGCCGTTCGGATTACGCAACTCGGATATCTGGCAGCCCACATAGGCATTGGCTTCCTCCTCAAAGATGGGTATGTTGGTGACGATCGGTTTCTTGCGCGGCTCATCGTCCGGCTCCTGAACAGTATCCGGATAACGCGGCTTGCCCGTCTCCAGCTCAGCAGGCACCGGAGTCGGCACAATGCGATCCGGCGATGGTTCCCTGGAGCTCTTCGCATGCTGTATATCGATTATGACATTCTCCATGTCCTCGCTGTTGATCAACTGCTCGCTGAGATTGATGGTGCGTGTGGTGAAGCATTTGCTGGGACGATTACGATCGTTGTTAGGTCTCTGAGCGGAGCTTGGATTCAGGCTGCTCATCTCCGGCTGCGTCGGCTTAGGCTTGCCATTGACCACCTTAATCACGTTCTCGCTAGTGGAGCGAGTCACCTTGTCCTTGTCGCGGCGCGTAACGCGCGGCACTGGCGCCGATTCCTTGCGCTCCGTCACCGGCAGCTTGCGTATTGGACTTGCCACAACTTTGGGCGTCACTTTGCGCTCGGTTTTGGGTGACGGCGTCTTGGGCGCTGCATGATCTATGATGATCTCAGTGTGCACTGAAATGTTGCTCGAGCGACGACGCTCGCTGGGAATACGCGTGGGGCTCGTATCCGGCGAGGAGGACTCTCCGTCCACGTCGTCCGCTTGGGGTTTCTGTTTGCGTGGCGATGAACGTAAACGATCCTTAATACTTGGCGAGCTGTTGGCATCACTGGGCTTTCTATCCTTGCGAATAGTTGTGCTTGTTGTGGTGCGTGTTTCCTCCACCAGGCTGTCTCGCTTGGCAGACTCGCGGCTTGGTAGCGACTCCTTCCGTGGACTCTTGACAGCCTTGGGCTGGGCTTCCTTCACGGCCGGTTTGTTGGTGGTGCTAGTGGTGCTGGTCTTAGTGGTGCGCGAATTGCGTCGCTCTGTTTCGATTTTAGTGGTCGAGGATTTCCTGGAGTCGGGCTGCTTCGGCTTTGCTTCCTCTGGCTCGCTATCGTAGGGTTGCTTCTTGGTCTTGGGTCCCGCAGCGGGTCCAGTGGGTCGTTGAGCTTTGCTGATCTTCTCCAAGACAGCTTTGCCATTGCAATCGATAATCTTTTCGGTCACAAAATGCTTTGTCTCCGTTTGTGGCAAAGGCTCCTTGCGTGTGGGTGATGGCGACTGGGAAGGACGTTTTGTTATCACCACAGTTGTCTTTTCACTTATATACTCTGCATCATCCTTGGGTTGCTTGGGCTGTTTGCCGGCCGCAGAGCGCGGCTCTTTGTCATCCTTGGGTCGTCTTGGAGAGCCGTCATCCCTATACGTCTTACCAGCTGTGGGCTGTGATTTCCTGTCAGCCGTTGGCTGCTTAGTGGCAGGTGTATCATCTGGATAGGGCGAATACTCTCGACGAGTGGGCGATGTTGACTTGACAGGACGCTTAGTCATAATTATGGTCGTATCATCGCTTACTTTGATGAAGTCAACGTCCTTGGAATAATAAGTTGGTGTCGAACGTGGCTTAAATTCATCTGTGGGTGCCTTAGTCTTCGGCTGGTTATCCTCTGGATAAGGCAGGGGCTCTTTACGTGTGGGAGACCGAGTCTTGGCAGTGGGTGTCTTTGAACTACGCTTCGTTGTGATAGTTGTTGTTTCTTCTTCGAAATTGATCAACTCCGCATCGTCCTTGACTCTTGGACGTGGCTCATCCTCGTCCTCTGTATCAGGCAAAGGCTCTTGACGAGTTGTGACTGTAGTCGTTTCTTGCTCTACATTTATGTACTCGGCATCATCCTTGGGCCTTCTACCTGGTGTAGGACGTGGCTTAGGCTGTTTACCAGCTTTCGCTTTTGGCTCTTCCTCGTCCTCTGAGCGAGGCAAAGGCGCTTTGCGAGACTTGGTTGAATGCTTTGTCTCGATTGTTGTTGTCTCTTCATCTATGTTTATAAGCTCTGTCTCGTCCTTGGAGACTCTGGTCGATGATGGACGTTGTGGTTTTTCATCCTTGGGCTGTTTGCCACCCTTTGGACGTGTCTCTACCTCCTCCTTGGGCAGTGGACCTTTGGGAGACTTCGATGAACGCTTCGTTGTTATTGTAGTAGTCTCTTCCTCCACGTCAATGAACTCAGCATCATCTTTAGGACTTGAGCTCTGCGGCTTCTTATGGTCTGGCTGTCCAACAGGCTCGATCACATCCTTTGGCTTATGGCCTCCGGTCGTACGTGGTGCGTCTACATCCACAGGCTTAGGTTTCTGCTTGCCGATATTCTTCTCAGTGCTAATCACGGTTTCTGTTCTCTCAGTCTCTGTGATATTCAGTGTCTCGGGCTCTGATAACGGCTCCTCGACCTTGATGACAGGCTGGGGGCGTATGACATATGTTTCAGGGACACGCCTGGGCTTGTCATCTTCATCATCATCATCGGGACAGTCTTCGATCTTGAACTCAAAAGTCTCTGTCTTCTTGACGACGGTTTCTGTTTCCTGTTCGTCTGTGCCATCATCATCATCATCATCAACGTCGGGCTTTGGCACGAAGTTGCCCTGCGTGTCACCATCCTCTTCCATGCCCAAGATCTTGCGACAACGATCTTCAAAGGTCTCACGACGAGTCAGGCCCTTCTTGCGGTAGGTGGGCTTCTGGTCTTCCTCCGGCTCGGGACTCTTTGAGATGAAGCCCCCATCAGGTCTTTCGGGAGAGTCCCGCGTAGCTGGTTTATAGCTAGGTCTATCGATCATATCTTTGTCTTGGGGCCTTGGCTCAGGGTTTTCCGCTGGCTTACTCTCTGGCTTGTGCGGTTGGTGTTGACGTTCGTTTGTTATAAATTCGTCATTTAAATTTTTCGTTGTATTGGTAACTCGTTGGGTCACAGTGCTTCGGAAGAACTCATTCTCTAGGAACTGTGTGGGTTGCTGCGTAACGTCGGGGGTCGGTTTTCCATTACTGGGCTGCGGCTTAAGTGGAGCTGAGCCGGGCAATTGTCTATCAGGAGATTGACGCGACTTGTCAGTGGGCTCATTGCCTTTAGGCTTTTCGGGGCTACCGAAGCGAGGTGTTTCCTTTGGACTCTGACGAGGAGACTCCTTATGTACAGTTTCTGGTAACTGATGGTCGGGACGCGAGTCCCTTGCCACCGCAGAGGGTAATTGATTGTCGGGACTCGAACGCGTCGAGTCTTTGGGTCTAGCAGCAGGAACACCACTTGGCATTTGCTTTTCGGGGCTAGTGGGGCGAGACGTTGGCTTAGACGGTAATGAAGCTGGCAGCTGGGTGCCAGAGCTCTGAGGCTGCGGTTCTTTGGGCAGCTGCTTTTCGGGACTAACCGAACGTGGCCGAGTAGCTGGTTGCTTCTCGGGGCTAAGGGCGCGCGGCGCCTGCTTCATTTTCGAGGGCAACTGTTTCTCGGGACTCTGACGAGGCGATTCTTTGGGCCTCGACGGAAACGTGGCCGGTATCTCCCTGGGCTTATCGCTACCTTTCATTGGGCGCTGCCTGACCTCCAAGCTGCTCTCATCGATAACAATTTGATCGTCGATGCGAGTGAGGCGTTCCGGCGAATAGGCACGCTCCACATCCGTCTCAAATGTGGTCTCTCGCTGCAGTGGACGTCGTTCGTTGCCTGGCGACTTGGAGCTACGCCTAGCCACAGTTGGCACATCATCGTCGTCATCGGCGTCATCATCATCCGGGATGCTGGGTCTGGCTGCATAGGGGCTTCGCTTGCTTGGCATGGCTGCTGCTGGGAATTGGGGGGTTTGTGGTTGTTTTTTTTTTCTTTGGAGTCATATAGGCATACAAGCTAAAACGTGCCACGCTCAACGACCAGTTGAGTTCGTGTGCGTGGGTGATATTGTGCGCAAAACTCTACGTTATTTTAGAGAGACAGAGGTTGTTAGTGACGACTACAACAACAGCTACAGCAGATATCAACTTGGAGTTTTCCTGACTTTTCTAGTGGGTGGTAGTAGGTTAATAGCGCTACGGTATTAGGCAGGCGTGGCAATTGAGGCGGGCGAGCAGGCGTGTTAGGTCAGGCAGGCGTATCAGGCGTATCTTATATGTAGTTAATATGCTCGGGGAGCCCCAACAGAAGTAAGAGAAGTCTAGGAGTTTTAGTATTACCGTTAGTTTGGCTAACCCACCCAAAAATACTGCTAAGTGTGTGTGTAGTTGTGGCAGTGTGTGTGTGTGTGTGTGTGTGTATTTCCAGAACATAGAACATAGCACATTCGCAATTTTTGTTTTTTTTTTTGTGTTTTTTTATGTTTTAAAAATTTTTTATTAGCAAAGTTCCAAAAAAAAAAAATAGATAGTATATAGTATATAGAGATATATATATATATATATATTTATCGTGTGTAGTTAAGACAGTTTTATATTAAAATGATGTGTTGGAGCAGAAGAAAAGTTGCACGTTTTTGTTGTTTGTTGTTGTTTTGTGTGTTTTGCTGTTTGTTTTCTTTTCGTTTTTTTTTTTGGTTTTTGATTTTGGATTTTGAATGTTTGCTTTGCTTGTTTTTTTTTTTTTTAGGCCTTACCAACGGTTTCAGTACTTGTTACCGCCTTGGCTATGTTGGCCGCTTGTTCTGCTGTTTCGTTTGTCGTATCGGCTGGGCCCAGCTTGTAGTAATTGCGACGCACACAGGGTGGTTCGTGCACGGCGCTGCTTGTTGGCGCTGTTGTTGCTGTGGTTGTTGTTGCCTCATTTGAGCTCAGCTTGGTTTTTGTTAACAATTCATCGGTAGAGGGTTTGTACTGGTTGTTCTTGGTTGTTAGTGTTGTGGTTGTTGTTGTTGTTGTAGTTTCGTTGTTGTTGTTGTTGTTGTTGTTGTTAATAGTAGGTGTTGTAGGATTGGTAGGTGGCAAAGAGAATATATCGGCTGGCTTAGTAGTAGCATACGTATACTGTGATTGGTTATCTGAAGGATACATTCATATACATAGATATTTCCGAAAATAATAGATATTATGTATGTATGTGTGTGTGTGTGTTGTGTGTGTGTATATATATATATATTCTTTTTTTTTTTTTCTTTTTTTGTTGGTCTAATTCGTACCTGACACAGCGGACGGCTCGCTAGCTGGAACAGTTGTTGCAGCTGCTGGAGCTGCTGGAGCTGTTGGAGTTGTTGGTGTTGCTGGCTTTGTTGGTGTGCCAGCTGGCTTATTGCCAATCGTTGTTGTTGTGGTTGTTGTTGTCGTTGTTGTTGATTTCGTTGTCGGAGATTTGGGCAAGCGCTGCGGCGTTAGATCAATCGTTTCATTAGAGCCCTGCACACTGCGTGTCTTGACGACAGTTTGCTGCTGCTGCTGCTGCTGCTTGTTTACAGTTGTCTTGGCAATTGTCTTGGGCACGCCCACATGTCGTGTGACTGTGGTGGAGCTAATGCGACTCGACTCGGACGGCGCATGGCTATCGTGTGAGCCTTCGCGTCCGGCACGTCGACTGGTGCCGCTCGACGAGACGCTCCAGCGCGGCGTTTGACGCTGCGGATGTGGCTCCGGCGTCTGGCCACTGTCACGACGTGTATGCGGATGCCCATGATGATGGGAGCCCGTCGAGCCAACGCTTTCGGCCGGCGAGCTGCTGCGCAAGGAGGCGGCAAATGCACGATGTGCTGCATCCACCTCGCGCTCCTTCTGCAGCTGGCGACGCGTCACTGTGTTGGTGGTGGTCGTGGTCTCAGTGGTGCTGCGAGTGGGTGTGCGTGTGCCAGCGTTGGGCTTGCGAGTCGGTGACTTTGTCTGACTGCCATAATCCTGTGTGCGACGCGGACTAGCATTCAGCTGCTGCGGACGACGCTCGCGCTCCACCTGCGTTTCAATGATGCGCTCCGGTCGGCGACTCGGGCTAGACGGCAGCTCAGCATCCGGTTGATCCGAGCGCACCGAGGGGAAGCCATGTGTGCTAAAATCCTCAGCGTTGGTCGGACGCCTGGGACTCTGTGGCTGCTCCCAGCTGGGCTCGTATTCCGTTTCGACGGTGCGCTGCGAGGTGGTGCTGCTGGTCTGCTTAACGTTGCGACTCTTCTCAGACTTTACCACCACATACTCCTCGGTTGTGGGTCGCTGGCCGGGAAACTCTTGCGTGGGCTTGTTGCCGCGCACCGATGGGAAGCCGTGTGTCGAGAAGTCGCTCGAAGGCTGACGATTCGGCGTGCTGGGACGGTGGTTTGGGAACTCCTGTATCGGTTTCGTTGACCTTGCGGACGGCAGACCGTCCGGACGGCCGGGCTGTTGCGGTGCACGATCGTCGTACTCCTGCACGGTCTCCGATGTGGTCTCAGTGGAGTAGCGGCGACTGGATTTCTTTACAGTCGAATAGCTCTCCTGTTTGACAAGCTCCTCGGCCGTCTCGGAGGGACGACGTACCAGCGGCTCAGCATTGTCCACCACATCGCGAGTCTCCTGTACGCGTCGCTGATTGTTCAGTTGCGACTGATTATGGGTTTGGGTCTGGGTCTGGGTCTGGGTCTGGGTCTGGATCTGCGCCTGGCGTACTGTGTCCGCAGTGGGGGACACCTGCTCGGTTTCGTAGCGCTTGTTCTTGACAATTGTGCCGTCGGGCAGCCGCTTGACCGTGGTAATCATTTTGACATTGGGCTTGGGATACTCAACCGTATTGGAGATGATCTCACCTGGCTGTGACATCAGGTGCTGCACATGTCGTTGGTATTCCGGCGATGCCTTATCCATATCCACATAGCGCTTGTTCTCCTCATAATGCTGCTGTGTCTCCACGTTGCGCGTGCTCTTCGATTGCTCACGGCTCTCGGAGAAACGCTCCTCCTTCAGCTCCTGCTGTTGTTGCTGCTGCTGTTGCTGGTGCAGTCTATGCTCCTGGAAACGTTGCTCCTGCACACGCTGCTCCTCACGATCGCGCTGCTCGCGCACTTCGCGCTGCTCCCGTGGCTCCATCGGCTCACGCTGCTGGCGATTTGTGCTCTGATTGTCCAGCAGATAGCGCGGCTGAGCGACTTCATCGTCGCCATACTCAACCGTTGAGGAGGAGACAAACTTGGACGTCGACGAGGATGACGTGGAGCTCATTTTCATTTCGGTACGGCCACCGTTGCTCTCATCGCCAAAGACCACCTTCTCCTGCAGATGCGTATTGGAGCTCTCTGCCGCCTGCTTCACGTAGTTCTTATCGTCGCCCTGATGCGAGGCGCTCGAGCGCTGCTCGTTGCGACCCTTGAACTCGGCAATGCCGCCACCATTCAGCTTCTCAACACCTATCGCATGAGTGGATCGTGGTGGGTTGGGTGAGTTTTTGTGTCAGTGGACATTTGGGTGGTTGATCACGGCACAGAGACATACAAACAAACAGAGTAGGAGTTACACACAGAGTTAAACACATTGAAGTTAGAAGTCGAGAGTTAACGACTAGCCGATACCCTGTACCCAACTACATACACATCTTGAATTTGCTATGAATATCGATAAATATATTAATAAATATATTAGGTATACGCTAGTGTTAAATTGGCCCGATATACCCTGTAATTAAAACTTCTTTTCTTTTATTCTTCAAATTTAGCATTGCTAAGTCTCTGAAAATTTATGGCATATGCACAAAGAAGAGTTGGCTGTGTATCGATAATTATCGACAATTATCGGAAAAAGAGTATAATTCTTTTGGCTGATCTTTTTAAAATCTTAGTCTTAAAAAACACTGCATAAGTTCCTCTATAGACACCGCATAATAATCGATACTTATCGATAATTATCGAAAAATAAATGTTATCTTAACATTTAATAATTTTTAAAACAGCTAACTTTATAAAGCTTTTAAGACTTTTTTGACTTCGCTTTGATAGCTATCCATATTGATCGATATTTATCGAAAATTAGAATAACAAATATTTAGATCTTTTCAAGCTAGTTAGGCGAATATGCAGTGACTATTGAATTTTATTTATCGAAAGCTATCGATGCCAATCTCTCTCTGCTCTATGGAATCGGATATGCCTAGATCTCAGTCCAAAACAATTTACACTGGGTACAGGGTATAACTCGATCGACAGTTCATGAAAATTGTGTGTGCTTTAGCTTACCATCGGTTTTGGCCAGAGTTTCGGTGCGATAGGCACGACCATCGGGGCTCACCTCCGACGAGGTCTGAACATCCCAGCCGGTGCTATTCGGTTGGGTGAGACTCATCGAGTGGAATTTGAGCTCATGCGTTGGACTCATCGAATCGCGCACCTCCTTCGACTTGAGACTCTGAAAGTTCTGATCGAGCAGCGCATCGCCATGGCTGGTGGCCAACGGATCCTTGCCAGCATAGCCAGATAGAGTATTACCGTTCGGTTCCGACATCGCAAACGTTAGATTGTCCGGTTCGTGTCTATAAAGATTTCTCAAACGCAATTCGCGCAGCTTATAAAGATGCGAACGGATTTGCCTCTTGCGTTCGCTATCCTCCGATTGCTGCCACTGCAAGAAATCGAGCATATATAGAGTATATATATATATAGAAAGAAAGAGGGAGAGATAGAGAGAGAGAGTGTAGAGTATAGAGCAACACGTCCTTGGGCTAATTGAACCGGCTCGCTGTGGCCCACGCGCCGTTCACATTGAGGCGAAGCTGCGCCTTTTATGGACGCGTTTGACGCCTCGTCTCGAACGCCAATTAGCTGGCGCACATAAAATAAAAACCTGACTTCAAGCCAACTGACTCACATTCATATACAGATATATATAAATATATATATATATATATATAGTTTAGTTTATGTGTAACAACATTTCATTTGCCCACATTAAGAAATTTAACAATAATTTGCTTGATTGATTCCTAAAAGGTTCTCAAGTCATAAGATCTACAGTCTATAGACTATATATAACTCAACATTGCTTATTTATATGATCAATATATATATATTCTTTAAAGATTTATCTAATAAGTCAGCTATAGCCCAGATTTTATGATGTTTATTTGAGTAGTTCTTGAGTTAGAATAGTTAGGATCGTTCTACAATCTATGATAAAAAGACATACATAGCTCAGTTCAGCTGAAAGTATTCTATCTCATATAGGTGATGCTTCAAGGTGGTGCAGCATTCAAGCACCCCGCTTGTCACTAGCTACAGGGTATACAAATTGTGCTGCTTTGGCTGCTTGGTGGTGCAGTCGACTGCATATGCGTGCAACCGCCAGAAATTCACAGTTTGTCAACAGATTTCTAATTTCCATATATATATTTTCATTCATTATTCATTTTTCATTATTATTATGATTATCATTGTCATTATTATGATTATTGTTTGCACGTTAATTAAAATCGACGGATTTGCTCAGCTCGAACATTCGCAAACAAAACTCGCAAAAGGTTTTGCTGCTGCTGCTGGTGGTGTTGGTGGTGCCCGGTGATATCACCCACCAAACAAACCAAACCACCTCAACACAATCGAAAGCGGAAAATATGCCAAAATTAACAACAATAGAGAGCAACAATAACAAATGCTTTGTTAACTGTTTTAAATTTAGATGCTTATAGCAAAAAGTATTTTGTAGATTAAAGAACTACTCAAATCAAACTTATATATAAATATATATGTATATATATATATAGATATATCCATATATAGCTATATACAGCTGACTATAAACATCATAAATCAAAGTTGTCATATCATTTATCTCCAGTGAAAATGTATAAAACGAATGAGCTTGAATATATTATCAATTCGAATGCTTCGTAAAGCCATATACCATATATAACACTAAATATGTACAACTTGTATATATACTAAAGACAATTTATTTTGCTTTGCATTTTTCCCATAATTGTTCAGTCTTTGAGCCCCAACTTTGAGTTAATTGCTTCAGTTTTTTTTATCTGTTTCCAATAAATTTTAAGTGTTTTGAATGTTGAATGAATATATATATTTTATGTATATACGTAAATATATATATATATATATATATATATATATATATATATATATCTATAGCATCTGTATGCATCAGTATTAAAACAACTTCAAATTCCAGACTTCCGGTTGAAACATCTATAGACTATATAAAAAAAAACAATATTCAAGAAAGAATTTAACTCTTGGTTAAACTGCCTGCCAAGTATACATATATATATCAGTATCAGAAATAGTTAAGCCTTTCCAGTGGCTTGAGAGCCCACCAATTGGTGGCTGGCAATGCCATGACAAAAAGCTTCGTAAAGTCCTATTAATAGCTACTTTTAACTATTTAAATGCTAGTTAAACTAACTGCTAATGTTGTATGCATGCATACAAAAATGGGTTTCAAAGTTATTCATCAAATTTAACTGTGAACATGTTAATTAGCACTTAGTTAAAAGCAGTTGTTAGATTTTGACAGGCACATATTAGTTTTGACATGCACAAAATAAATTTCAAATGAACTTTCGTGATGAGCTGTAATCAAATGCTAATAAACCAAACTAACTGTCAGAAGCAGTTAAAACTAACTGTCAAAGTTGACAGGCAGACATGATAAGCGACAAAGCTGTTGCCTAATTTATAAAACTCTATATCAAGAAATATGAGATTCGAACTTTGATTGCGGTCCCAGCTCCAAAAGGAGCTAGAGAAATCGCAACTTTCACTCAACAAAATAAATAAATAAAATAAAATTAAGTTTCAATTTTGCCAAAACTGAAACTCTAAAATGCACTGACCAAGGCGAAAAGGTCGTCAAAAGCTTTCAGGGCGAAAACTTTTCGCCCAGGAACAACTGTTCGCGTGGCAATGGCTCAGCTTCAGTCAATGTTGACGTCGACGCCGACGGCGACGGCGACGTCAGCATCTTGAAACGCCGCTTTGCCGTCAAGCGACATTTGCCAGGTGACGTAATTTCTAAAAAGCGGCTTGTGATAACCAGTTGAATTCGCCGTCGCCGTCACCGTCGCGTCGCCGTCGCCGTCACCGTACCTCGTCGCTGCCAGCGGCAACCTGTTGACGGCGATGGCAACGTCGACTGCGCAGCCGCCAACTGCTGCTGCGTCCGATGACGTGACGTGTGCGAGATTTGGCTGATGCGAGTTCGCTGCGAATGCTGATAAATTATTATTTTTTTGTTTTATTATAATTTTTTTAATTTTTTGTTAGCTGTCGTGTCAGCTTTGGAGGTCGCCAATATTTTGTGTATTTCGTCTATGCACTATAATTGTTGTTGCCAAAAATAAAACAAGAAATTGAAAACGAAAATGAAAACAAAAATCTTTTTGCTATTGCAATTAAAATTGATTAAAATTTAATTGAGTCAAATGCCGCTAGACACGAACATATAACCCACAACAGAAGACAGCGCGCACTCAGCGCAAAGGAAGCGAACGATTTCACGTTAACGAAAGAGGATGCAATGCAGCAGAGGGGCAGGAGGAGCAGCAGACAGCGAATGGATTTCAATTGAATGGGAAATAAAAAAATTGGCTAACTCTGTGCAGCTCTCTCTCTCTCTCTCTCTTCCTCCCTATCTCACTCTTAATGCTTATTCCTTCGTTGCTATATTCGTAAACATTTTACAGGCTGCATTTCATGTTGCCATCGGTCAACATATATTTCGTGCTGCTTGTTATCGTTGGTAATTTTACTCACTTATCTGCCCACTCAATCGAAAAGACTGGCCCAGAACTCATTTCGCATTTCCCATACGATAAATCCGCAATCAGCTTTCAAGTTATCAGAAGCGTAAGCCAAGAATGTCAAACGATAAGCCAGCGCCCAAGTTGCACTTGGATAAATCCAAGTAGCAAGTGCAGCGACACCTGTTGCCAACGACATGCACCAGAGCACGCCATCTGGCGTCGCACATTTGGCAATTTGCTGACATTTGACATTGACAATCAGTTCAATTCGATGAGGAAACCGTTTTGCACTGCCCTCTTAATTGATCGTGTTTCTCTCTGTGTTTGCTTTTTTTGTTTTGTTCTTGGCGTCAGTTGTTATTTATAACAATTTCAATTTCATTTCAATTTCATTTCAATTCAATTCGGTTGCATGCATATCCAAGTGGGCGAGAACCAATTGCGAGGCGAGCATCGCGATTTGCCTAGCTGCGATTCGCCAGCTGTCGCCAATTCGCCGCTTAGAGCGAATTGTGTCATTTTCATGCTCAACCTGCTGGCAGCGGCGTCGCCACCGACTGCGACGCTGACGTTTCTACTTTTTTTTGCAATTTTTTTTTTACTTTTTAGCACCTGCGAAGCGGCAACCGAAATTGAAACTATTTAAAACTGCGCATGTTTTTAAATATACCCTGTAAACGTAGTGTGCTAGTAAAGGGGTATACAAAGTCCATATATTGCATACGCTTAAATCTCTGTGCTTCATTGTGAATTTTACAATAGATCCAATACATACACCTCGATGTACTATATAAATATATTCAAAGTGTCAAAGCCTTCAAAGTGTAAATAAAAAAATTCGTGAACATTTATTTAAGGGTCTACAGAAAGCAACAGCTAAAGTTTAGGCTGCTTACAGGGTATTGCCGCGTCTATAGCTGTGCAAAATTATCGAAGCACAAACTAATCATAATTAAATAATAGAAAGGTTATATAGGAAATACACAAAACCAAAGCTTAAGGTCATATTGGCTGCTTACGGGGTATCTCTTAGATCATGTATGTATAGGAAAATGCTGCAAAAATAGCACAAAGGAGCTACAAAATAAAACTTTAAGCACTATTTACAGGGCATCTCTACGTTGACTCATGCGCGCACATAGAAATCATAACAAAAACTAAACACTAATTGAATATATGAATATGCAAGGGTTTACAGACAACAAAATATGTTAGCAGACACATATAGCCTGTTTATAGGGTATCTTAAAGGTGAGACATGCTCGAAATGTCTCCAGTTTGGAAAGCGAAAACTAACAAATGACTGAATCGAACAATAGAGGACAACAAAAACTGAGCAAGACATATTACAGGGTATCTGTTCGTATAAATAGTGTATTTTAGAACATTTTCTATTTGTTTTTTCTTGTCATTATTTGCTTTGGACTTGTGCTCGAGTCAATTTCAGACCTGAGTTCAGTTTGTTTTCATTTTCAGCTTTTTTCGTATCTCTCTCTTTCACCTTTCTTTCTAGAGAGAGAGAGAGGGGGGTGAGGGGCCTACTTTGACATTGCCCAGGTGAATTACACATGCGGCGTCTGTTCTTGAAATTTAGAGCGTTTTTTTTTTTATTTCGAGGCCGTCATCGCATCACGCATATTAAACACTACAATTTACCCAAAATACTCCAAATGCAATGCAAAGTCTAAAGCAAATCTTCAATTGGAGATCTCTTTTTTCTCCTTCTACTCTTTCTTCCCATGTTGATTGATGGAGCTGTCAACTGACAAGCCGATGACATGTCATTGTTATCGTTATCGTTATTGAGCGCCAGCTGCGCAGCTCCTCATAGAAAGTTTCCCACATTGCGGAAAACAGTTCAAGGCGCTCGAAATATTTTAATAAATATTTTTAAATAGCTCACCTATTTTGAAAAATATTGAAAATCTATATTTAAAAACAAATTTAAAGATATTTTGTACAGTTCAAAGTTGAAACTTTAGAAAAAATAAAAATAAAGGGCAAAAAAACATTCAACAAAAAATCGTATTAAATATTAAAATCGTATAATATATTAAAAAAAAATAAAAAATCTTTAAATTTAAGAAAAAGTACTACCAAAATCTGTAAAATTAATTTCATAAAATGATTTTTAATACAGTTAAAAAACGAAATTAACATAATATACAGATCAGTTCTCCTCGTATCATATATACTTTATTGACAATTAAGTTTATACTTTATTATGAGCTATATACAAATAGTTCAATGCTGTTTTCCACACTCGTTTTCAGTTCAGCTCAGATCATAAAAACTACAAACAAGCCGCTCGATTTATGAAGAGCTGACAAGCCTCAGATTTGTTTTACAATATCACGATCACCTGGCTCATTGGCTCGATAGTAATAATAATAGTAATCAAAAAAATATAGATCTATTGATCCGCAAAAGCAAACGAACCGACAAAGTAATGAAAGGAAACATTGAGACGGAAATTAGAAATAGAATTTAACAAATGAATGCACTCTAAAATTTCCGAGTGGGTGTACGAAGACAAAGTTTCTACATTGATTAAGCAAGTGCCATATTTATATACATATATCAAATTATCCCTCGGGCTAAACAAATTAAGTGCAAATCGAAAATCAAAGCGAAGCGAGGCCAACTGCCCCGGGGTTGACTGCTAAACAGGTTTCACTGTAATTAGATTCATTTTGAGATTAGAATAGCTATATATGTATATATAAATAAGTATGTATACATAGGTAATCTTGATAAAATGTAAAAAAAAATGATGACACGATCGTTCATATTCGTAAATTCGCATTTCTAATCTACTTTTCGGGCTCCTGCTCTATTGATAAGAAGCTTTTGTTTGTTTACAAGCAAACAAAAAAAAGAAGAAAACAAAAGAAAAAAATGAAAAATAGCTGACACTAACGCCGGCAGCGACGGACGCTGCGCTGCTGCCGTTGCTGACTAACTGTTATGCAAAAACAAAATTCGAATTTTAGCTTGCCTCAAAGTGTGAAAGTTATTGGCCAATATATGCGTATGTGTGTGTGTGGGTGTGCAGTAAATTTACCTGTCTATAGATGAACTAATCACTGTGGCTCCTCCGGATGACAAACGCAAAATATGTGGCAGGTAAGAGAGAAAAAAAACCAAAAAAGGTCGCTGAAATCTCTTCTGCACCCTGTTTTATATCGAATTTTGCTTCGTTGAGTTGGGTTCGTTGTATTGTTATTTATATTTTTTAGTTCTTTTTTTTACCGGCAAACACACGTATAAACACTTGGGTAATAATGGGTGTGACTAATCCTTTCTGCCGTTCGCTAATATTTCGTGCTTTTGGCTTTTGGTTCTTTAAGCTCGTTTGGCAAAAATAATCAAATGTTGCTCCAAAACAAAAACAATATTATATACATATACATATATACAAACAAACAAAAAAAAACAATTGCTGCTGCTGCTTCTTCTACTTCTTCTCCTTGTTGTTGGTTGAGTTTCGTTGTTTTTAAAACCGAGCGTCGGCACGTTGCAATCGATCGAGCACCAAAATCAGACTGAAGTTCGCCCATTCAGAATCAAAGCCGCGTAAAGTGGACGGCCAACCCGGCCGAAGCTTAGACAGCAGCCGCGCCAGCAGCAGCGCAGTCGATGACGACAGCGCAGCGCAGTCAGCAACAAAGATATGACCGAATACGACAACAACAATCCGCGAAGATGACAGCGACGACGTCGTCGTCGTCGTCGATCGAGTGCTATGCGTGCTTATAGTCTGTGTGCATGTGGGTGCGTGTGCTGCTGTCTTGGCTTGTGTGCGTTTGCGTCTGAATTGCCCCCACTATCAGTGCAGCGGCCGCTGTCAGCTGCGCTGCCTTTTTATGTGTGTAAAGTAACACACACAAAAAGCGAAAAACAAAACAAAAACATCGGCTCAAATACAGCCAACAACAACAAGAACAAGACGAGCAGCAGCAACAGAATTTTTGCTAAAGCTCTGGCACAGCCAAATACAATAACAACAACACCAACTACAGCAATATGTAACGGCTGTGGTTTTTTTTTTTGTTTATTTATTTTGTAGGGCTACATTGACTACCGTATAAAGCTGGTGCATTGGAGAGTAGGTAGAATTGTTTTATTTTTTTTGTCCATATGGTGACTAATTGCAGCTCGACTCTGGTAAAGCTTTTGCACTTCTAAGTTACTCAAGCTTCAAATTACGAACTACACGTAAGTATATACAATTTTGGCATTGTTTATATTGAAGTACTGGCTTACAAATGATAATTGATGATTTAAGCTATCATTATAGCTGTAATAAATATAACTGCAGCCTGTGTTTATAACAAAATACTGAGGAAAATATATATTAAGTTACCAGTTAAATGGAAAATTTATTAGCTGGAAGTAAGGGTATTCAAGGTATGGTAATCATAACAAATAACTTAATACATGGCTAGGGTATTTCAAGTGCGGCCTATGTATCCCCAAAACACATTTGCTTCAACTGTTTACAGTTCAGTTTTTGGCTAATGATGCGATGTCTGTTAGAACAAATTTACATACACATACAGGCAACTCCATAATTATATTGCCAGTGGGATTTGGCTAATCGATCGTGCAAAAATGGCAAAAAGTAAAGTAAAAAAAGGCAAACGTGTTCCAGTGCACAGTTGACCAATCAATCGCTGAGGTATGACTATAGGTCGTACTATATACAATATATAACAATCCACAAAAATAATATAAATCACTCGAATGGCATTTACATATATATTTTGTAGGTGTTTTTATTATTATTATTGCTGTTGTTGTTGTGGTTGCTTTTGCCAATTGCGCCAGCTTCACCATTCAAAGACGCCCCCACGCGGCAAAAAAGCGTAGCTCAGACTAAATAGCGCGCAGACAAAACAAAAATAAGAGAAGCAAAAAAGAAAAAGAAAAAAGTTAGTCATGCAGACGCTGCGCAGACGTCGTGGCTAGACTTGCAGCCGATAGACGATAAACGATTCACAATATGGCAATAGCCAATAGATGGAGCAAAGCAACGTAATAAAGTTTTTCTCTTTGCTGTTCACTTGTTGCTGTTGCTGCTGCTGTTGCAGTTGCTGCATTTGGCCAAGTGCCATGTGAACTGGTGGCAACTGTTGCAGGCAGTTTGGCTGGCTAACTGGCTAACAGACAGATGGCCATAGCGGGTGTCACTATGTGCCAATTGCGGCTCAGACTTACTGATTTATTTTTCATGCAGTTAGCGTCAGCGTCAGCTCCGCGGCCCACGCGACGCACTGGCTTCAAATCATGGCCGAGAGATTGGCGCAATTGTAAAGCGGCCAACGCGCAAATGTCTCAAAAAATAAACAACAAATAAATCTCAAGAGTATTCTAGACGGTTCCATGAGCGACTAAGCATTACCCTTGACAAGTCGATAAATATCGATATAGATTGAATAATATATAGCTTAATAACATGCAAAATAACAAAAGGTGCGATGGCTATTGCAAATCGGTATCTATCGATTAGTGTTACTGATATAGGTATGTTATGAATCATATATGTTCAGCCCATCATATATGTATGACTTCAAAAAAAGACCATCAATTTTCAGCTGATCGATAACTTGAGTATTGATATTTATCGATAATTTCAAGTCGATTGTATTGGTTTAGCTATTAGGCTCACAAAATGATTAACAATACATATTTATCGATTATGTGATATTTATCGATGCTTAGCTTAGCTTGCATTTTAAGCTGACTGGCACGATACACTCGCTTTCAGACAGTATTCCAGGACTTATGTGATCAGCCTATAAGACACATATATGTCTATATAGTATACAGGACTCTTAGTGTTCCTTAGAGTATACCCTACCAGCGGGCAGTTGCCATGGGAATTGCAGGGTATGGGAACAAAAAACTTGCCACTCGCTAATGTTGTCTGACTGACCGAGCAGCAGGCATCAGGCATCGACACAGGCTGCGGCTGAGCAACAGCTGTGGCGTCATCAGCGCAATGCGTGCCAAAGGAGCCTGGCGGCCAACTGGATTTGTGGCTTGAAGTGGCGGTCAGGCGAGTTCAGATGCTGCACGAAATTGATTCATGTGGCGATGAGTCATCGTCGCTTTATCAGTCAGCAAAAGCGTGAAAGAGAGAGAGAGGGGGGAAGAGGGAGAGGGAGGGACACAGCGACAGAAAAAGATAGCTACAAAACGCGACTCAGACGTTGTCGTCGCTGTTGCTGCCGCTGTCAACGTCGACGTCGACGTCGACGCCGGCCGCTGCGTGGGCTGATTAACGTCTGCTGCTATTTTTGTAGATTTTACGTATTTATTATTGTTATTATTATTAATATAGATGTTTTGCTATTGTCGCTGCTCGTACATCATTTTGGCCATGTTGGAGGCGACGTCATCAACGATTTTCCATTGATTTGCTTGAAAAAAAACTTAGTTTTTAATGACTTTTTAACGATAATTGGCCCGCTGAGTTGGCTTAGACGGCCCACACATCAGGCGAGAGCCGGGCCACGCCAACCCCATAAATGACCCAATTTGGTCAGGTTGAACCGGGTGCCTGGTGTCTGGGCTCGTCATCCGTTCGTCTGTGTGTGTGAATCTCCAAAGCTAGTTCTCGAAACTCTTCCACTCTGTCTCTGGCTGTCTGCACTTTAAAGGCAATGACTGACGCATCCAACGGAGACAGCAATGGAGAGGCAATGAACTTGCTAACAGGTGGCTTAGAGTCCAGCTAGAGAGCTGAGCGGGTCCCCCAATAAGAGAAAAGAACTGAGAATCACATAGAAGGCATCAGCTGCAGTTAGAGCAACGCAACAGATCTGACCTAAATACAAATATCTACTCACATATATGTGTGTATGCATGTACCCCAGCCTAATATATGCACATATATCATGCAAGTCTCCAGATATATGTGTGTGTGCGATTTCGATACTTCTACTTTCACATCGCTTACCATTTTCCTTAGCAACTCCTCGTTTTGTATGGCACCCAAATCGCATTCCAGTTCCATGGCAAGCGAAAAAAGCTAAAACAAAAGGAGAAAACCATTAAAATATGTGAGCAAACTGAAAATGTCTGTTGAAGGCGGACATCTGATGATGCAATTCGCAATTGCATGCCCAGTACAGGGTATAAACAGGGTATGATACGATTCAACGTCGTGTTTGCAGCTTGATGCTGCTTCATCTGCTATTAACACCTGGTGACACCTTGTGAGCTCTCATATAGATATCAGAGTCAAACTAAAGAAAAACTATCATAGGGTATCTGCAAGTCGATCACTTTTTTTATGAGTTCACTAAAACTTATTGCCATCCGAAATGCATGAATAAAAGTGCTGAGGCTGGCATATGACATATTCTAGATAACTAATTCTAGGGTATCTTGTAGTCTGTCATTGTTTTATGCAACTGCACAAATGCACAATTCTTGCTTATTAATATCTTCTGATATATTAAGCAAACAATGTTTATATAGAGTATCTTTTAGTCCATCAGCCTAGGGTATTTGCTAGTCCATCAGCTGCTGTTTTTTAATAAATTTTGCTTGTACTCAAGTACATAGTTTCAGCTTTTAGAAGATATATTGCTCATAAGCCTGTATGAAAATTAAACACAGGGTATCTGCTAGTCAATCAGCTAAATTTTGTAGCCGAAATTCGCTTGCTTCATAGTCAAATATATATTTCAAGTCAGCTAACATATATTTATTACAAATAAACCTAAAAGTCAAGCACAGGGTATCTGCTGGTCGATCAGTTGCAGCTCTTGCACGAATTTTCTAGCACTATAGTCACATACATAGTTTAGACTCATACATAGTGCTTATAAAAGCAAAAAAAATGCATTTATAGGGTATATGATAGTCGATCAGTTGTAGTTTTCAGCCAATTTGCACTTGTATTACGGTCAACTTCACATGCATACATTGCTGACAAACAGAAAAAAAAACAGATATAGGGTATCTGCTAGTTGATCAGTTTGCAGTTTTCAGTTCAAGCTTAAAATAAAAATATTTGCACATATATTTCCCATTTAAAAACAAAATAAGAGCTACAGGGTATCTACCAGTCCATCAACTGCTGCTTGCGGCTACTGTAACTTGTTGCGCCTACAAATGCGAATGCATTTTTCATTTTGATTCATTTGCTGCTGCTGCTGCTGCTGCTGCTGCTGCGGTTTCTCAAGTCTAGATACTTTAGCTTCAATCGTACGTACATAGATTCATTAAAATTATTTTCAATTTATCATGATTTATATATGTATATATACAGCTGTGTGTGCGTGTGTGTGTGTGTGTGTGTTTGTTTTTATTTTATTGCACTCCAGCTTGGCGACGAGGCGAACCAGATCCCCACCAAGTCCAAGTCCCCAAGTCCCAA